AAGTCACTACTCGAGTTCATAGCAGATTCCCAGATAAAGGACCCAATTTTTTCCAGATCACGGACCACATGGAAATCCTGGTCTAAGAGGTGCAAATGGAGTTCAAGTTAGTGTTCTGCGTGAAAATAGAAATGAATGCTTCCCCTGTCCCCAAGGACCAAGAGGACCACCTGGGCCCGATGGACCTATAGGAATGGCAGGTGTTCATGGCGTCTTTGGCTACAGAGGAATGAAAGGCTAGTTTCTAACTCTGGTATCATTTCTTACTAATATTACTTCCCATTCAATGCTAACAAATGACTCTATTCTCATCCACCTCTCCATCGCTCACCCTCGCTGCGAGAACCCCTTTCTTTTGGGCTTCACATTCCACATGTAATGTGTCCAATTTAGGAAGAAATGGTGCACCAGGGCAGCGTGGTCCTCGTGGAGATGAGGGAACACCGGGTACTCCAGGAATGCCCGGTGTACCTGGCAGACACGGAGACGTCGGCTATCGTGGGGTAGGCAAGCCCGGCCCACCCGGCATCCCTGGAGTTCGGGGAGAATTCGGAATGCAGGGACTTGCAGGAATTAATGGTGAGCAATATAAGGTGGAAGTTAATTTATTCAGGTGATTTCTGCCTTCGAATGCGTTTTCTTCAGGAGCTATGGGTAGACCTGGAGACATGGGCGATCCTGGTCGCGAAGGAATGCCAGGAGTACCGGGTGTGGACGGGTCACCAGGTTTACCTGGTGGGCCAGGTCCCGTCGGTTCGGATGCACTCTATTGTCCTTGCCCAGTTAGAGATCAAGTCGTCGTCAATGCTGCACAAAGAGATGAGGAAGCCTACGAAAGAGTTCTACGCCGACGAAAGGCATCTGGTTAGAAAGAATCCAATTCGATGATTCACATCTGTTATAGTACCATCGAAGATCTCGTTTTCACGCAAGGCAAACCCTGTATGGGCGTGACAAAGAGATAGGTGTTTCATAGTTAAGTAGTGTATTACCGCTCGCATGGTGCAATTTCGGAACTGTTCTCGATTACCTTGTCATGTGTTTTTTTTCAATGACAACTAATTATTTTTGTGTGGCACGTCAATAAACATTGCAAAACCAGTCATATATTCTGGATGAAGTCACCAAGAGAAAACCTCGTTGGGTAAAGCATGAACCGGTGACTATCTGCGTTTATCGTTTTCCCCTCTCAAACGGCCCTAAGCAACACTCTCTGCAGAAATGATGCGAAGAATCTATTCAGAAGGTGGGATGGAGTGGCCCACGGGTAGCACAGATGTGCCGATGTCACGGTGCGTCAAGTGCGCAGCAGTGGCGTCAGGGCGTTAACACGTTGACGACAGGCTGACGCGCATGCGCGTCAGAAATTTGGCACCGCATCGGACATTCTGACGCGCATGCGCGTCAGAACTATGTCATTCATTTTTATGTGCTTGCGCTCCTTCTTCTCGAGTTTTTTGTATTCATTCTATACATTAGCATAACTATAAACCACATGGCAGCCAGAGTGGTCAAATATCCCTTGATTTAGCAAAGATTTTCTGAACGCACAAAACTTTCATTTCAATTCTTTCCTAGTATTCCTTTCACTGTCGTAAACATTCATATGAAAGATTGTAGAAACAGTTAATACAAAGATTAATAGTGAGTTATACGAGTATATGGTGAGTACCAAGAAGATATCGCATTTGATTCGAAAAACTAAGGTATAAATGCTTTTTATTTTTATTTTTATGTTTTTAGGAAAAGGTTTTTGGCTTCTTCGTGATCATTATGGATTCTTCTACAAAAATCTACTGGTATTTATATAGGTAACCTTCTACGCTTTCATCCTTGCCGAAATAATTGTGAGATTCAAGTTTTGTGCATTTTAAACAAAAAATAAGCGTAAGTAAGGTGAGGACGGCGCGCTCGCAAAATCGCTCCTGTCCCACGCGGTGCAAAATGCCAAAACACGCGATGTCGTCAACGTGTTAAAAAGTCAGCATTTGGCGACTAATCTTAGCATTTGGACGAGTTACGTAGCGCACACCCATGACACGCAACGTGGATTACGGCGTAGCGGCTAATTCAAATACGCGCGGGTTAGTTGAGCCGTGGAGCAGGCAAGTTCGTACAACTCGTCCGGCCCCGCCCCTTCCTTATTTCAAGGGGAACCTTGTTTAGGGCTCCATCGATGGTTTTCTTTGCTTCTTTTTTTTTTCATTTTTAGTCAGTTTGATATGGTCATTGTGATCAGCGCCTTTAAACATGCAGGAGCCACGAACGAATTTGGTTCAGCCATAAAATCAAAATGCTCCTCGGCTGTTTGCAAGCAACCTTCGTTCCATTGTTAGTTGCTAACAACGGTAATGATTTGTTCAAGGTTCTACAGTCGAGTAAAAGACCAGCGAAATAAAAATAGGAACAAAAAAGGAAACAAAAGAAGAACACCTCTCAAAAAACTTAACTCCGAGAAAAAATTAACATTCGTATCTGGCGACTTCAACCCAAACCTTTAGAAGCAAGTTTTCATCACAACTTCACTTATAACGGTAGTTCAGTGCCCTCATAACGACTATGGCATTCATATAAAAGTGAGGGCTGATCATTTTTCACAAATTTATGCCAATTAAATCGCAAAATTTATTTCACCAAAAGCGGTGAGAACAAAGATCGAAGACCTGCATTTGCTAAGAAACCAAAGATCCGCTGAGCAGGACGTCATGAGGTCTTCAGATTATTGAGTTGGAGCGTATTTACCTATCGTATCATGTGGACATCAATCAGTTGCCTGGATGACCGATGATCCCATTTCTTTAGAGGATTCTGCACCATCGCTATAGCGTTAGACGCGGCCGGGGTCCGACTTTGCGAATCTATTCGCTAGCAGCGATTCCGTGGATTCGCAAAGTTTGACACCAGCCTATGATACCTGCGCCTCCCTCCAATGACGTTAACCCACAACAGTTTTGTCGAGCAACAGCGACGAATGGAGACGTTGCCTACGCTTCTACTTAAAGAACCTGATGAACTAGGGTTTGAAAAGTGATAAAGGTGATGTGCTGCTAGGCGCGATTGTGAGCGCGTCTTCAGCAGCCCGTCATCTGTATCAGTATAGTGAAAAATGAAACAAGTTGTTAGGGAAACTGCAGATAAGGCACTTCCTGCACTCGAATTTGAGCATTATTCAAACTCAAAGCGAAGATCGGTAGCCGAGAAATCAGGGTGACGGAGATAGGAGAGCGAATGGAGACGAAACAAATACAGGGGTGGCCAAAAAAAGAGACACTTTGCCCATGGCGCACATCATCGAACTTTTCGTCGCACAGGGAGCCGATGTTAATGAAAGTTTTACGGCGGAATATTCCTTAGGTGTTCCCCCGT